CTGACTGTTTGTGTGTGTGTCTGTCTGTCTGTCTGTCTGTCTGTCTGTCTGTCTGACTGTGTGTGTCTGTCTGTGTCTGACTGACTGTGTGTGTGTGTGTGTGTGTGTGTGTGTGTCTGTCTGACTGTGTGTGTGTGTGTCTGTCTGTCTGTCTGTCTGTCTGTCTGTCTGTCTGTCTGTCTGTCTGTCTGTCTGTCTGTCTGTCTGTCTGACTGACTGACTGACTGACTGACTGACTGACTGACTGGGTGTGTGTGTCTTTCTGTCTGTCTGTCTGACTGTCTGACTGTTTGTCTGTCTGTCTGTCTGTCTGTCTGACTGTCTGTCTGTCTGTCTGTCTGACTGTCTGTCTGTCTGACTGACTGACTGACTGTGTCTGTCTGACTGTGTGTCTGTCTTTCTGTCTGTCTGACTGTCTGTCTCTGTGTGTGTCTGTCTGTCTGTCTGTCTGTCTGTCTGTCTGGGTGTGTATGTCTGTCTGTCTGACTGTGTGTGTGTGTCTGTCTGTCTGTCTGTGACTGACTGACTCTGTCTGACTGACTGTGTGTCTGTCTGTCTGTCTGTCTGACTGTCTGTCTGTCTGACTGACTGGGTGTCTGTCTGTCTGTCTGTCTGTGACTGACTGACTCTGTCTGACTGACTGTGTCTGTCTGTCTGTCTGTCTGTCTGTCTGGGTGTGTATGTCTGACTGACTGACTGACTGACTGTGTCTGTCTGTCTGTCTGTCTGTCTGTCTGTCTGTCTGGGTGTGTATGTCTGACTGACTGACTGTCTGACTGTGTCTGTCTGTCTGTCTGTCTGTCTGTCTGTCTGTCTGGGTGTGTATGTCTGACTGACTGTGTGTGTGTGTGTGTGTGTGTCTGTCTGTCTGTGTGTCTGTCTGTCTGTCTGTCTGTGTCTGACTGACTGACTGACTCTGTCTGTGTGTGTGTGTGTGTGTGTGTGTGTGTGTGTGTGACTGACTGACTGACTGACTGTGGGTGTGTATATCTATCTGTGTCTCACTGACTGTGTGTGTGTGTGTGTGTGTATGTGATGTGTGTGTGTCTGCCTGTCTGTGTGTTTGTGTCTGTCTGTCTGTGACTGTAGTTTCTGCAGGTTATGATTAGTTTTAAAGTGTAAATCATGATCTCCTGTGTTACTGTTTTATTTCAGAGTTCATTAAGATATGCTCAGCATGGAAAACTGAGCTGTGGATGTGGTTTCGCATTTTCCTTACAGATATGATCATTTATCAGGTATGATTTTATTTAATATATATATTTTTTTACTTGATTGATTGATAATATAGGTCATATATAAAGTCATAACTGTAAATATACCTGTTTCTAGTTTAAGATTTTCAACAGACTGATAGAAAAAGCTGCTCACAAACCAAAGTGACGTCTGATTCGTGAGCAAGTCAGTTCTGTTCGGTCAGACAGATTCACAAATCAATCTAAATGGTTCTTTAGTGAATCAGACCGAGTCTGAATAGTTTTTTCTTTTTTTCTCTCTCTGTAAAGACCTCTTCACACCAAGATTGAAACGACAAACAAAAGCAAATATTTTGACCAATTATCATCTATGACCAGAACAGTTTTAGAATATAATAATTTATCACAGTATAATTATGTCAATGGAGCCATAGCATTATAATTATAGTTTTTATTAACATTTTGAAAATGCTTTTATTTTCATATTGGGTTTTTTTATTCATTTTAATTTTAGTTTTTTAAATTTGTTTAACTCTGTTATGTGCATTTGTTATTTTAATTAATATTTATTTTATATTAGTATTTAGATTAAATCGTCTTTATTTCAGCTTTAGTTTTAGTTTATTTCCTGTTAGTAATTTTAGTACTTCAACTTCAGCTTATTTCTGTTAGTTGCCAAGGCAACATTTGTAATTTCCTAATTCTCTAGCTTTTCATCTAATATTTATTTGTATTTCATGTCAGCTTTATTTCATTTAACAAAAACTATTTGAATACTTTTAGTTTAAGTTAATAATAGTAATACTGTCCATCAATTTAGTTCTATGAAATCAAGTTAAAATATATCAGAATATAATTTTAATATGTCAGTGTCTCCATAGCAGTGGTATATTAGTATTATTTGTATCAGTTTTGTATTTTTATTAACATTTCGAATTTGGTACTTTTGTCATTTTATTAGTTTATTTTTTTAATATTAATTCCTAGTTTTTTTTTGTTTTAGTTTTAATTTATTTCCTCTTAATAATTTTAGAGCTTTGACTTGAAAATTCTCTCATTTTCCTTTAGTTAAAATTTTTCACCTAATATTAATTTTTATTTTATTCCAGTTATATTTCAGTTGAAAATTTTTTTTTCAATAATTTTATTTGCGGCAGATATTGCAGCTGTGTTCAGTCTTTACCCGTCTGTGTGTTGTTCAGGGTCAGTACCGGAAGGCTCTGTCCAGTCTGGCTCTGATGTCGTCACTACAGCTCCAGCAGAACCAGAACCAGAACTCGCTCTCCAGCTCCTCGAGTCTAGAGACGCAGCGGGCGATCATCCAGCTGGCCTCCTGTCACTACGCGCTGGGAGAGTACAGGGTAACACACACACACACACACACACACACACACACACTCTCTCTCTCTCTCTCTCTCTCTCTCTC